ACATGATGTTATTGCAAAAACTGTGGACTCTAAAGTGCAACATGTTCTTAGTCAAATCAAACAAACTCTTGGAAAAAGAAACACTCAAACCAAGCATGAAGACACAAGGTCAGAGTCTCATAGGTCACATAGTAGTTATAAACTGTCCAGATCTTCTAGTGCGAGTGGCAGTTACGTACCTATGCAGGAATTCATGGAGCGAAAGGCAAAGGCAGAAGCAGCGAGAGTTCAGATGGAATATGAGAAGAAACAGTTGGAATTGAAGAAAATAAAAGCTGAATTAGTAGAAAATGAAGTCAAGGTCAAGGCAGAAATTCAACGTCGACAGTCTGAAATTCAAGCTAACATGGATGTACTAGATGCGGAAATGAATCTGAGTGTGGCCGAAGCTGAACTTAAGGTATTCGAGGATGAATTGGAAAATTCCAGAAAGTTTGACATTTTATCAAATTACGAAGAGCAGTCAAGAAAGACTCTAACAAGCATCCAACTACACAGTTGAGTCCTTGGACAGTACCACTAAACTTCAACTACCAACACTAATCGAATGTAACCAAATTCCAGATAACAAAAACGAAGTACCTACTCCGGAAGTAGCCCGATGCTACTCTCATCTTCAAGATATAGCAGAGCTGATTCCACCAGTGAATGACAGCGCAAAGACACTTCTATTATTGGGACGAGATATCATCAGTGTTCATCATGTGGAAGACCAACGCATTGGAAGCGCCATCTCTCCATATGGGCAGAAACTAAGCCTAGGATGGGTTATCATAGGTGAAACATGTATTGGAAAAGCTCATAAAAGTGACCAAGTAAATGTGAACAAAACTTTCATACTTCATGATGGACAACCAAGTCTACACCCTCCGTGTGTAAACAATTTTCACATTAGAGAAAGTAATCTTGACTCGTTGTTTTGTGAACCAGACAGTCGTTTATTCATTAAAACAAAGGATGACAACAAATCAGGGAAGTCAACTGAAGATCGAGAATTCGAAACTATCATGGCAGCTGGAATGATGAAGAACGAACAGGGTAATTGGGAGGCACCATTACCATTTAAACCAGACAGACCACCCCTACCAAACAATAAAGAACTAGCAATGAAGAGGGCAAAATCTCTTGAAATCAGCCTTATCAAGGATGAAGCAAAACGAGAACACTTTCTAACATTTATGTCAAACATACTGGACAAAGGCTTTGCAGAAGAAGTACACAAACTACCCGACTCAGAAGAATGCTGGTACCTGCCCATTTTCGGAGTGTATCATCCGAAAAAGCCAGCACAAATCCGAGTGGTCTTCGACTCATCAGCCCAGTGTCAAGGCCTATCATTAAACCAAGTGTTACTTACTGGACCTAACCTGACCAATGACCTTCTTGGAATTCTTTTACGTTTTCGTCAAGGACCAGTAGCAGTGACAGTTGACATTCAGCAAATGTTTTACGGATTCTATGTTCAACCAGATCAGCGCAAGTATTTGCGCTTCTTTTGGTATAAAGAAAACGACATGAACAAGGGCCTAGTGGAGTACCAGATGAAGGTACATGTGTTCGGCAACACAACTTCACCTGCGATTGCAACTTATGCACTCAGAAAGACAGTGGAAGAAAGTGACAGTGATGTGAAAAACTTTGTAGTGAAAAACTTTTATGTGGACGACGGTTTGTTGTCAACTCAAACAGTTCAGGAAGCAGCGGATTTGATAAAGAGAACTCAGAAGGATTTGGCAGAAAACGGAAACCTGAAACTCCATAAGATCACTTCCAACAGCTTGGAACTAATGAATCACTTCCCTAACCAAGACCTCTCAAAGGAAATTCAAGATCTCAATTTCACAGAAGAGTACTTACCATTTCATCAGAGTCTCGGACTTAAATGGAACTTACAAACTGACAGTTTCATGTTCAATATACCTTTAGAGACAAAACCGTTTACAAAACGAGGTATTTTGTCAGTGATCAACAGCATATTTGACCCGATTGGTTTCATCGCACCAGTGAAGATCAAAGGAAAAATGCTTGTAAGAGAGATTTCACAAGGAACTACTGGCTGGGATGAGGAACTTCCCCAGGAGTACATGAATCAGTGGAGTGAGTGGACCAGTTCCTTAGACTCATTGAAGGATGTTAAGATTCAGAGAAGCTACACTTCTAAGTTACCTGAAGCTACCAAAACAGAAGTTCACATATTTTCCGATGCCTCGGAAAAGGCTATTGGAGCTGTCGCCTATTTGAAAACCTATTTCTCAGACAACAGAGTGAATATTGGATTCTTGTTGGGAAAGGCGAAGTTAGCTCCCTTGAAGGAACATTCTCTACCTAGACTGGAGTTATGCGCAGCTGTAATGGCAGTAGAAATTCATGAAACTGTTCAAGAATCCCTTGATATTAGGCCAGGCAGTGTCAAGTATTACACAGATAGCCAAGTGGTTCTAGGCTACATCAACAATACCACCAGACGCTTCTACACGTACGTCTCAAATCGAGTGGACCAAATTAGGAGTCTCTCAACCCCATCTGATTGGAGTTACGTGAACACTAAACATAACCCGGCTGACCTAGCTACACGCTCAGTTCCCTCCTCAAAGCTTCAGGACAGTATGTGGTTAAACGGACCAAAGTTCTTACAGAACAGCGAGGATCATATTCAGTACACTACAGTGTTTCGTTTACTAGACCCTGAACCTGACAAAGAGATTAGACCAGAAGTAGTCGTACAGAAGACACAGTTGAATGAGTCAACACCATTGATCAACAGATTCACAAAGTTTGGAAGCTGGATATCCTTAGTGAGAGCCATTGCTCGTCTGAAACAGTTTGTCAAGTCATTCAAGGCAAGAAAAGAGAAGACTCACTCATCTGAACTAAAGACACTTAATCCTCAGATCATGAAGGAAGCAGAAACATTCATTGTCAAGGAAACCCAAAGAAATTTCTACCCCGAAGACCTGGATGCCTTGAGGAGAAAATGTCAGATGAACAAGAACAGTAACATAATACCACTGAATCCATTCCTAGACTGTGACGGAACTATAAGAGTAGGAGGACGTTTGAAAAACGCATACCTTAGTCAGAACGAGTTGCATCCCATTATCTTACCTGGACGGTCTTATGTGGCCAAACTCATAGTCCTGTCATGCCACGAGAAGGTTTTCCATCAGGGGAGACATATAACAGAAGGCGCTGTTCGATCAAGTGGATACTGGAACACAGGATGTAAACGACTAGTATCGTCACTCATCTATCGATGCGTTACCTGCAGGAAGTTGCGTTGGAAAGAGCAACATCAACTCATGGCCGATTTACCCAAGGATCGTCTGATGGTAGGAGCCCCATTTTTGAACATAGGCGTAGATGTTTTCGGACCTTGGCAAGTGGTTACCCGGAAAACTAGAGGCGGAACCGTGAACAACAAACGCTGGGCAGCTTTATTTACGTGTTTGTGTACCCGAGCTGTTCACATAGAGGTATTGGAGGAAATGTCAACCTCTTCCTTCATTAACGCCTTGAAACGGTTCATTACCATTAGGGGCAATGTCAAGATTATTCGTTCAGACAGAGGAACCAATTTTATCGGGACAGTCAACACACTTCATCTGAACTGTGTAAATGTTGAAGATACAACCGCAAAATCTTACCTGGAAGAAAAAGGGATCACCTGGATCTTCAACTCGCCACACTCTTCTCACATGGGGGGAGTGTGGGAGCGTATGATAAAAACAGCTAGAAGGATCTTAGATGCTCTACTTTTGGATTCTTCAACTAAAAACCTGACCCATGAAGTCTTAGTAACCTTTCTGGCGGAAGTGTCGGCAATTATAAACTCAAGACCAATCACAGTTATTTCCACGGACCCAGAAAACCCTATTATCCTTTCTCCAGCTTTGTTACTGACACACAAAGATGACAGTCAAACAGCAACCCAGTTCGAGTCCGATTCAAAATTGGACATGAAAGATATCTACAGAGCTCAGTGGAAACGTGTGCAGTGTTTATCGGAACTGTTCTGGCAGAAATGGAAGAAGGATTATCTCCATACGCTTCAAACGCGCAGGAAGTGGAAATCTGTGGTACCAGATCTTACCGAAGGAAGTATCGTTTTGCTCAAGGATAACGATGTTCCGAGACAATCGTGGCCGTTAGCCAGGATTGTGAAGGTTCTACCAAGTGATGACGGGAGAATCCGCAAAGTCATTATTCGTGTTCATCGTGACGGAAAGAACATTGAATACACCAGACCAATTTCAGAGCTTGTTCTTTTAGTTAAGAATTAGAACAGATTTGTAGACTTTGTATATTTTGCAAAGAATGTTAGAAATCTGTAGTTGAGAAATTGTTTTTCAAATTTTATTGAAATTATGTTTATTGAGTTAGTGATTTACTTACATGGTAAATCAGACGGGGAATGTTCTGTTTATGTTTTTGGTATTTTACGGGTTTTAGCGCAACCCTTTTCTTTCTATTTTTGTGTAATTAGCCTAACCGGAAACAAGTTTAGAAAAAGCACATGCTTACAAGTTTAAGGACGACATTGTACAATATCTATCTTTTCGAGCTGATAAGGCCCATAGGGTAATTAAGGTCTTGCGTCTTCACGGAAGACCTTCTAGTGATTCTACTGTTTCTTATTAAGGTCTTCCGTCTTCACGGAAGACCTTCTAGGGATTCTACTGTTTCTTATTATTATTCTTATTTTTTTTCCCCAAAATTTTGTGCAGGCGATTTCTCAAAAACTATTCAGTGGTTTTCAATGAAACTTTCAGGAATTATGCGTCATTATATGAACTTTGTTCATCAGAAGGAAAATTTGGAATACTCACATTCGGTTCCAAGACATTGACAGTTTTCTGATTTTAAAATGAATTTTTGTCCCCCCTTTTTTATGAAAATGGTCTAAGATATTAACTGGAGACTTGTTAGAGATGATAGATGATGACTTTTAGATATGTGAAATCACCTTTTCGTGTGTCGTCAGTACTTCCGGTCGCTAGCGGAAGCGAATTTAAAAAGTCCGTCTTTTCTAACTTTTTTGTTTTTCAATATTTTTCATTTATTTTTGGAATGTTAATAAAGACCGTTCTTATAATACTTACTATATAATTTGTTTGAACATTGATAAATCCAAACTCTAGATATTAATATTTAAAAATCTGAAGCGGGTCCAATATGGCGGTTGCCTATATCAACTCCGACATTTCGCAATAGGGGTTTTCAGAGGCAGCCAAGCGTTTGCTTTAACGAAAGTAAATAAGGATAAATGAAATGTAAAGGAATACGGGGATTGTCACGATGTAGATACGTTGCAATTCTCTGTCAAACTAAGTTTAAATCCATGGTCGTCTCAAACGTCTTCTATAATTGATTTTGGCTGGTTCTCAAAGTAGAAAAAGAAAAGACTAAATGTGCAAATGAAATACATCATTTGTTTTGCGGAAAAACAGATCTTAAATCATAGTTACAAATAGTTTTAAGAAACAATATCGATGTATATAGTAAGTATTAAACGTATCCACTGTTTTGCTCATATTAAACTAAAAGGAAAGACAAACATAAGAAAACCATTTTTTAGAAGAATTGAGTTTATATTAATATTCTTGTGTCAAAGATATGATTTAAGTTATTGAACATAAATGGTATTTGATTCCTTGACCGTCTTAGGGCGACACATGTTTTTCGGCGAAACATTTCAACATTTTCATGAAAGTTTAACTAATTGGGATAGTTCAGTATGGGGATAAACAGGAAATTTTAAAAAGTAAAAAGCTATAGCATTTTCACTGATTTAGTGTTACCTATCTATTTACATCATAGAATTTGTAAATGTTAAAAACAATTTCTTTACCTTGAAATTTTAGCTATAAGAACGTTCATTTTTTATTTCCATTGAAGCTATCACACCTATTCAATGGGACATTCCAAAGAAAACGCTCGAAGATTTACTCGTGGCGTTTGACGGAAAATTATAAATAGTGACCGCCTTTCATTATTCTAAGACAGATGTACTGTTTCAGAAGTATATACAAGTAGATTTAGAGATGTGGTCCCAATAGCGTAACAGGAAGCGCTTTGGATTTTCATGCTGGCAACCCGGGTTTAACCCCCTTTGTTTCCCTAAAAAGTTTTATCATTTTTTCAGATCGATTTTGCGGGTTTTTTTTTTCAGAATCAGACGGAAGACCTCGTTGCTCGCAACGAGTTTCTTTTCTAGTTAGGGTCTTCCGTCTTCAGCGGAAGACCCTTCTATTATTCTTCGGTTTCTTTTTCACTTTTATTAAGGTCTTCCGTCTTCAGCGGAAGACCTTCTTGTTATTCTTAGGTTTCTTTTTCACTTTTATTATTCTTTTTTTTCTTACCGATTTTGTGCACGCGATTTCTCAAAGACGGCTTGATGGATTTCCATGAAACTTTCAGGACTTATGTTACATTACTTGAACCTTATGCATTTTTTTCCGATTTGATGACATCACTTCCGGTTTGGAGATATTGTCAATTTTATGATTTTTGAAGGGTCAGGTTGTCCGCAGACTTTCTCGATAATGGCTCAAGATAGAAACATGAAACTTTCAGGTATGATAGACCAAAGTCTGTAGATATGTATAACATATTTCATTTTTATCGGAAGGTCCGCACGTCGGCGCTCGCTATGGCCCAAAAATAGACGTATCAAGAATTTAAAAATTTTTAACACTTTTTCGAAGATATCTTTCTACCTACAAATATTTTGTTAAGACATATAGAACAAAAGAAGTGTAGAATTCCAAGATCTTTCAAATGATATCTCGAAAAAAGGGCTGGCCCCTATAATTAGCGGCCTAGAGGGGCCGAAACTTTTTTCTTTATATCTCAAAATCTATATAGAATTTGTAATACGTCAAAGAAGCAAAGTTGTTCAAAAGGTCAAGCTTCATGTATTGGCGTCGTCAAAATTCGTCCGGCGACGTCACTTCCGGCCAAACCGGAAGTAGTCGGAAAATGCGTATTTTTGCCGTTCTTGACAAGTTTTTGGGTAACGAATGTCTCTGGGAGCATAAAAATTAATTTTCCGTCCGTCGTCGTCACTTCCGGTCAGACCAGAAGTAGCAAAAAATGGCTTATTTTTGCATTAATTAACATAGCTTTAGATGATTCAAGGTATTTTTGGGCGTTATTTGGCATTTTTGTTAAAAATAAACTCTACTTCCGGTCAAACAGGACGGAAGACCTACTCGTTGCTTTGCAACGAGCTTTGCTCTAGTTATTATTCTATTTTTTCCTTACCGATTTTGTGCAGAAGATTTCTCAGAGATGGCTCGATCGATTTCGTTCAAATTTTCGGTGTTGATGTGCTTCTATCTGAAGTTTGTACCGGCGCTTCGATTTTGAAAAAAATCACTTCCGGTCGGAAGTTATCGCCCTTTGATCGAAATTTAGATGACCTCCATGTCTGTGATGGAACTCAAAAAAAGGATAAGCTAGAAAGCTTAAATTTTCAGGGATGGTAGAGGACATGTTGCCATATTGCACCTGGGTCAGGATATTTTCCGGAAGTGCCTAGTATGGAAACTCGATCGGGGTCAAAATTTAGGACACTAATCATGACTGATTTTTTTAGACATTTCGCATCATATCTTTTAAAGTATAATTATTTTGTTAAAACACAGTGAACATCATTTGTGCAGAACATCGAGATCTTTCATATCATTTCAAGAAAAAAGTGCTGACTCATCATATTAAGGGCAAAAAGGGTCCAGAAGTCTTTAATCGATAACTCTTTAACAATCAATATTTTGGTATATATTACTGAACAAAAAATGTTAAGCTTAACAATCTACAACTATATATTATGATTTTCATGTCGTATGGTACATAATTAGGGACCACAAGGGGCCAGAATGCGAAATCTTTGACGCTTTATATCTCGAAAGGGAGAAATAATTTGATAAGCAATATTGAACAAAAGATGTTCAAAATAATGTTCTGAACTATATGCAACCTTTCAGTTTTTGCTATTCCCCATTAAGGAGTTGAAGGGTTGGCCCCTAAATATTTCTTTTGCTAATAGCTAAAAAACGAAAAAAAATTTCTGAAAAGTTGTTGAACAAAAAATGTTCAAAATCTTAAGATTTTTCAGATGAGGTCTCGAAAAAAGGGGCTGGGCACTCGAATTAGGGGCCAAGAGGGGCCAAAAGTCTTCAATCGATAACATTTTATCAGTTAATATTTTGTAATACATTACTGAAGCAAAGATATTTATCTCAACCATCTACAACTATATATTATGATTTTTATGTCATATGGTACATATTTAGGGGCCACAAGGGGCCAGAATACTAAATCTTTGGTGCTTCATATCTCGAAAGGGAGAAATATTTTGACAAGCAATATTGAACAAAAGATGTTCAAAATAATGTTCTGAACAATATCCAACCTTTTATTTTTCACAAAACGTCCCCATTAAGGAGTTGAAGGGTTGGCCCCTAAATATTTCTTTTGCTTATAGCTCAAAAACGAAAAGCACTGTCAAAACAGTTCTTGAACACAAAATGTTCAAAATCTAAAGATCTTTAAGATGAGATCCCGAAAAAGGGGCTGGGCACTCAAATAACGGGCCAAGAGGGGCCAAAAGTCTTTAACCGATAACTCTTTATCAGTTAATATTTTGTGATACATTACTGAAGCAAAGATGTTTATCTCAACCATCTACAACTATATATTATGATTTTTATGTCGTATGGTACATATTTAGGGGCCACAAGGGGCCAGAATACTAAATCTTTGATGCTTTATATCTCGAAAGGGAGAAATATTTTGACAAGCAATATTGAACAAAAGATGTTCAAAATAATGTTCTGAACAATATCCAACCTTTTATTTTTCACAAAACGTCCCCATTAAGGAGTTGAAGGGTTGGCCCCTAAATATTTCTTTTGCTTATAGCTCAAAAATGAAAAAGAATTTCTGAACAGTTCTTGAACACAAAATGTTCAAAATCTAAAGATCTTTAAGATGAGATCCCGAAAAAGGGGCTGGGCACTCAAATAACGGGCCAAGAGGGGCCAAAAGTCTTTAACCGATAACTCTTTATCAGTTAATATTTTGTGATACATTACTGAAGCAAAGATGTTTATCTCAACCATCTACAACTATATAATATGATATTTATGTCGTATGGTACATAATTAAGGGCCACATGGGGCCAGAATGCTAAATCTTTGACGCTTTATATCTCGAAAGGGAGAAATATTTTGACAAGCAATATTGAACAAATGATGTTCAAAATAATGTTCTGAACAAT